CAGGTATAAAATAATACACTATGTGTTATTTTATAATACAAAACTACTTGGCAAAATTATTTGGGGTGTTTTATGAGAGGCTGTAAAGCAGATGGATTATTCTCATCACAGATTCATAGATCACAGCAAAAAAAATAAGCAAATAGTCTCCTGTAGGGTCAGAAGCCGACAGAAACACTGCTCTGCCTCGAAAGACAGCAGAAAACCTGAACAATATCTGAACAGGAGAAAATGGTTTTGGTTTGTATCAGAACATCTGTTAAAACAATAAAAATGAATCCCTACCCAGGGGGTGGAAACAGCCAATCAGAACACTCTGATAATATCTTGCAGAAAGCAACAATTCTAAAACCTGTCATGCCCCCCCCCCCTCACCGCTACCTGCATTGCATGATGGGAATGGCGGCAAGTGACCCGGAGCGATCAGACAAGGGAGGTAGATCTACATCACACCTCGATGTCCCCTCACCGCTACCACCAGCCCCTCATCGATCATATGGGAGTTTCTCCCCCCTCAGAGTCGCGACTCTTCATGAAATTGCAGAGATACTTAATTTCATTCTCCGCTGATTCAAGCCACGAATCACCCCTCAAACAGGGAGAAAACTCTCCCCGGACTGTCTGGCGTAGCGAAGCAATGAACTTTGGCACTAAGCAAATATTTCAAATATCCCAGTTAAGATTCTTCGCTGCCGCACAATGGGTTCGGCAGTGTTCGGGTTCAGTCCAGCGCAGCGTAAAGGGGAACAAGACGTGCGAGGTTCACAGAACAGAACAGTACATTCACCACATATATTAAACTCACAACTGGGCGTTTAGATACGGTAAAAAGATTTAGACAGCTATGGTACATTTTCTTCGCCATTAAGGAGGCCTTTGGGTGAATTTTAGAGATTAGACAGTGCTGATCTCCTCAGGGGAGAAGAAACCACACAAAAAACGACAGAGTAAAGGGGCCCAGACTCTCTGTAGCAATACAATACTTTCAATAGAATGAAGAACATGATGGGGGGGGGGGACGTGTGTCATGACGGAAAGGGGGCCTCGATAGATAGCGCTGTACCTTAGAAGCATCAGCGCTAACAGCGCTAACATGCGACATGCTAATGTATTGTCATGCATGTACTGTAGCTTGCA